TATTTTTAAAACATTCGCTCTAAATTAATTTATATACAAGTTTAAAAAAGTCTAAGGTATCCAAGTTTCATAACAAAAATCAAAGTGGTTAAAATTATGGGAGGTAATGGGTTGAACTAATGCAAAAACTTACAGATTTATGATGCATTATATGTACTACATGGTGCAAAGCGTGAATTTTGGCAATGCCTAGAACAAAATAAATAATTGTTTGCGCTCTCATCAACTTGTCAAAATGCGCATTTTCTTTCGCGTTTTTACTACCACCGACTGAGTGAAGAACTGACATATATCAGCATAGAAATGGGCTACACATGTAGAAACAAATTGGATCAGACAGCGATACTTACCAGTGGCATGATTCCAAACTGACAGCAAAAACCAATGAACGGACCCATTGGTTTCTTCAAATGCCGCCATATCAGCCGCGGATCTAGCTCACATCCCATAACACAGGTAATTGCAATAACCATACAAGCTACCACAGCGTTGAAGGCCATCTCAAGTGGGCCTCGTGGCCGCAAAATTTTAACAGGAAGTCCCATCACAGAGCTGTCGCCGTCCACCTCACTTCTGTTCGCCAGCCTCGACAAGTAGGCCTCCACGAGCAAAGGATCCGACCGGCTCCACACATAAACACCGGCTCCACTCTTCTCCTTCTCGATAGCTTCGCGAGCCCAAATTCGCAGATAGGCAACACCCATCCGAACTCCCTGGATGGTGAGATTCAGGTGGATGGTTTGTGGTCCGGAGGAGGCTGTGGACTGTAGGTGTAGCCAGAACGCAGGAGCTAGGTAGGCCACTGGTGGGTAGTCAATTTCAAATGAGAGCGCGATGGAACGCTGGAGATCGTAGGTTAAATTGCACCTGACGGAGTGGAGAGACCCCTTCTGTTCAAAAACGAGAGCAGATTTGCCGCAGGACATATTAAGAGAACTTTGTCCATCTTTAGACTTGAAGTATGTAAAGAGCTGTTCTATATCTTCCCCATAAGTGACTGTGATGGCCTCCATTTCGGCATTGATGCGTTCACGCTCAGCCTGGTCGTGCAAATTAACGAGGAGGCCGCCAGCTGACTCTTGGACATATCCATTTCCGTGACCGCTGCCGTCGCTGAAGCCGAAACCCACCACTCCGGCTGTTTTTAGCGCTGCAAGTAGGAAGGGTAGGAATAACCGTAGGTAGCGCATCGCTCAGCGTCTCAAGGTGCCAGAAAGTGAAGAACGTCTTCGTTTTCATGCCAACACACACACACACACCGATCCAGGATTGTATTGTATTGCATAAACCCGCGTGTACGCAGGTCAGATTGGTTGACCAGACTGCTGCCTCCTAAATGACGGGTCCGCATGTCCAGGTCCTTAACTCTGCATGCCTTTTCACCTTGCACTTTGAACCTTCCACTTGCACTCCGCTAGTATCCTCAAAATCACCGATACCACCGTTAGTCTCTGCTGTACCTTACCAGGTGTAGGACCCCTATATTTCCTACAATAGGCATGGCTTATTGACTTATTTGCTTGGTTACTTTTTTAACAAGTCCTATGTGGACATACTCACCGCTGCCCATTGCCGTCACCTTTCTCCGAGTGCTTTTCCTCCCAAGAAGCGTACGTCCATCACCCGGTAGGTCGGGGGCCACACGTTTCAAATTTTTTAG